ACGTTATCCTATCAAAGATGGTAACATGAGGAACTGTATATTGGGAAAAAGTAACAGAAGTCTGTTCTTTAAACTATGTGCATGTATTTTAAATGTTTGTTCTTTACCTATATTCAGAGTGAGATCAGCTTACATTTGGAACTAAAACAGTTTTTGCCGTCTTTGACTCCCTCAATCTATGCAGAATCACACTCTGTTAAAAAGGTCTTTACTCCTTATTTATCCTATTATTTGTGAATGGCTAGAAGAATTGTTCACAAGAGCAGAAAATTCATACTGCCAAAATGGAGGCATCCAAGGGTAAAACTTCATATTTACTTTAATACAACAAAACTTTACTACAGCCACTTCACCATATTTGGTTACCTTTTCCTAAAGCCTTTCATACAAACATAGAATCACAGAACAGCCCAAGTTGGAAGTGGCCTCCAGAGATCATCTGGTCCAACCTTTTGTGGGAAAGGAAGCCCGGATGAGATTGCCTAGTATTCTCTCCAATTGTGTCTTAAAAACCTCCAGTGATGAGGACTCTGCCATGTCTCTGGAGAGGTTGTTCCAGTGATTGATTGTTCTCACTGTAAAAAATTTCTTTCTTACATCAAGGTGAAACGTCTCCTAGTACAGCTTGTACCCACTGCCCCTTGCCTTCTCAATGTGGCTCCTTGTGAAGAGCAAGCCTCCGTTCTCGTCGTAGCTGTCCTTTCCAACGCAGACACTACCCTTTCCTATACAGACACTAATGTTCAAACAGCTGCCGGATGGGTTGGACCAACCTCCCCATCCCAAAGCAAAAAAATTATAGCAACGGGAGAAGGTAAAACCGGTTGTGATGGCTGGCAGGGGTTCAGTTGGAGGATACATGGGTACAGTGGGGAACAGGACTGCCGCTTGCAGGGACCATGACAAGCTGGAAGAATGGGCTGACAGAAGCCTCATGAAAATCAAAGACAGCACCATGCAACAGTCCAGGCTGCCTAGGCAGCAGCTCTGCAGAAAACATTTTTGCAACTCACCTGGCTAAGGCCCCAAGCAATCTGATCTATCAAGTTAACTCTGCTTTAAGCTATTGGACTAGAGATGACCTCCACAGCTTCCTTCTGACCTAATTTGCTCTATGATCTATGATACAAGGAACCTAGATTGCTTCATTTTAGCAGCCGCCTGCACTTCTGCCCAACTGAAGTGACAACGCACCCTAAGTTACAAGCCGCGCCTTCCTAAGCTTCTACACAACAGGGGAATTCTGGTACCTCTAGAAGATGACTGCAAGCGTCTAAGATAAGCTGTTCCTCTGACTGGCCATCAAAAAGTGTCTGTCTCGTTCCACTGACTACACAGAAGGGGTAGGCAGAACAGGCTTTTAAGTTGCATGCTGAAGTTATGTGCTTAAGGTGACAAAGCAGGGAAGCTTCCTGAAGGTTCAGCCAGTAAAGCCTGAGAATACCACATACATAACACTTACAGGGTGAAATGCAGCTGGCTTACGAGGCTGGTGGTCAAGTTTGTAGAGATACTGGTGGTGGAGACAATCTGGGATTCATCTCAGAGTACTGAAGGAGCTAGCGGATGTTATAGCAGGACCCCCCTCAATCATCTACCAAAAGGTCTTGGGAATCTGGGGAGCTCCCTGATGACTGGAAACTGGCCAACGTTATCCCAATCTACAAAAACGGCATGAGGGAAGTTCCAGGGAACTACAGACCTGTTACCCCAACCTCAGTTCCTGGAGAAAAATATGGAGAAGATTATACTGAGTACCACTGAAAGGCATTTAAAGAATAACACACTCCTCAGGCACCATCAACATGGCTTCACAAACGGCAAGTCCTGCTTAACTAATCTGATCTCCTGCTACAGTAAGGTCACCTGCCTCATGGATGAAGGGAAGGTGATGGGTGTAGTTTTTCTGGATTTTAGTAAGGCTTTTGATACTGTCCCTCACAGCATCCTTCTGGACAAGCTGTCCAGCTGTGGGATGTGCAGATCCACAGTGTGCTGAGTGAAGAACTGGCTGAAGGGCAGGGCTCAAAGGATTGTAGTGAATGGGGCTACATCTGGCTGGTGACTGGTCACCAGTGGTGTTCCTCAGGGTTCAGTTCTAGGACCAGTGCTGTTCAATATATTTACCAACGGTCTGGATGCAGGAGTTGAATGCACCATTAGCAAGTTTGCTGAGGATACTAAACTGGGAGGTGCTGTTGACTCTCTTGAGGGACAGGAGGCCTTGCAGAGGGATCTGGACAGATTGGAACACTGGGAAATGATTAATGGGATGAAATTTAACAAGTCAAAATGCTGCAGCCCAGAGGGCAAACCCCATTCTGGGGTCCATCAAACACAGCATAACCAGCCCGTCAAAAGAGATTATTATCCTGCTGTGTTAAGTGTTGGTGCGGCCTCACCTGGAGTACTGTGTGCATTTCTGGGCCTCACAATTTAAGAAGGATGTGAAGGTCCTTGAATGCGTCCAGAGGAGGGCAACAAAGCTGGTGGAAGGGCTGGAAGCAATGTACTATGAGGAGAGGCTGAGGGGCAACCTCATGCTCTCTACAGCTTCCTGAGGAGGGGAGGTGAAGAGGAAGGTGCTGGTCTCTTCTCCCTGGGATCCAGTGACAGGACTTGTGGGAATGGTTCAAAACTGTGCCAGGGGAGGTTCAGACTGGACATCAGGAAGCATTTCTTTACGAGAGGGTGGTCAAAGACTGTAACAGGCTTCCTAGAGAGGTGGTCGATGGCCCAAGCCTGTCAGTGTTTAAGAGGCACTTGGACAATGCCCTGAATAATGTGATTTAACTTGATCAGCCCTGAACTGGTCAGGCAGTTGGATGGGATGATTGTAGTAGGTCCCTTCCAACTGAAATACTCTATCTCACCCACCTTTCTTTTACAAATGCACGATTTTCACAGCAAGAAACATCCAGGATGAGTAATGAATCTCACCCAGGCATTTCAAAATCAGTTTTCACACCAGAACCGTTCCGCCTTGAAACCTTGACTCCGAAATGTCTGGGTTTTGGCACATTTCTTATCGGCCTGCAGCAAATCATGTAAGGTTCAGAGAAAAGAAATACTCTGAAGATTGGGGTCTTCCCTTTAGGCTCCATGCAAGATCTGCTAAAGAACTTATTAGTGCTCTTCACAGTGCTGGAAACAACTTCTCATTCTCTCATTTAGGACATGCCAGATAGGATCTGCAAGAACCTGAAACTGCCACCAAGCTACCCAAAATGAGGAAATTGCTGGGAGAGACTCAAGTATGTAACTTGGATACAAATTCTTGAATACAAAGAAAGTCTAAATTTCTTTAAGAAGTTGCTGAGGGAAAAGCAGGCAATGAAGGTGACAGTAAACATTGAAAACTGATCTGAAAGATAAAAGGCACAACTATGCTGGCAGACTGTAGTTTTCCTCAGCAAATACGCTTAAGAGACACAGCTCTGACACTATTATGAGGTAATGTGCAACAAAAAATACTAAGTGCTACTTAATATCTTGTCTTCACAACATTTTCCTCCTTCTGTATCAATGACAACAATTTCAGTACAAGAATACTATTAAAATCACACTGACTGCTAAAAGCTATCAAACTGGCCTTCGCAAATTGTAGAAGCACTCAGAATATCTCTAACCAGAGTACACATCACATTTGCACCATTCCCGAGATGTCTTCCATAACAAAATAATTACAGAGTCCTATATAAGGTTATTTTGATTTGTCTAATTTACTCTGGCACTAACAGAAGAAACGTTAAAGCACAATCACACCCAGTAAAATAGGTGAGAAAAGAATAAATGAGCAAGCAAGATTCCAAGGCCAATTTTCATCAAGAAATTATTCATTCAGTTGAAAGAAATGAAGCCTACTCAAAGGGGAGAAAAAATATCACAAGTGAACAGTCATCATCATAAGTATCATCTGAAGTGGTGAAGATTAAGTTAAATTTATGATATCAGCTGTAGAAATATGCAAAATAGTTCTAAACAATCTAAACTCAATTAGCAGGAGCTATTCACAGCATCTTGGAGCTCACTGTGGACGAACTTACCCCCATCAGCCTACACTAAGGTCTGTGACGCCATTCACAACTGTTGTTAAGCTAGACCATTCAAGGCCAGCTCTCAGGCACCTCTGTAACACACTGTCAACTGCTTCAACATTACAGGCCATGCCTATTGAACTGATGTTATACAAGCTCTTCACAACACAGCTCTTCATGGGTTCACCAAATGGCTCCAGTATTTTCTGTGATGAGGCACATTCAGATACCAGATTGCACGTCCTGCATAGTTCCTCATAATCATGAACTGATGTATTCTTGTGTGTTTATTTAACAGAGCCCCAAGATAATTTCTCCACAACTGTATCTGAACTGCCAACTTGCATTCCGATCAAATAATACAACAGATCTAAAAGCTCACTTGAAAAAACTTCTATGAAGGAATTGTTCATGTTAAACACAGCTGTCTTAGAAAAGCTCTATGAGTAACACTATATTCATCAAGTGTATGCCAGCACTTGCATATTGCAGGAATTTAGAGGGCTTACTCATATGAATAATTCTTTACAATTCATTAAAAATACAAGTAATGTTCCTAAAGTTCTTTCCCAGTTAAGCAATCCCAACATAATGGCATAAAGTGTACTAAAATATTTCAGAATACAGATTTGTAGGTTTGATTTGTTTCTGAAATACTTATCGAAATATTTCTTTATGCTCATAAACAATAAAACATTTAACAAATAAGACTATTACAAAATAGACTTACCTTAAAATAAATTCTTAGTATTTAATGGGAATTACAGACAGCAACCCTTCCAGTTCTTCTAACAATAAATACCTGCTAAAGTAGCTTTTTTTAAAATGTTTTATAAGGGTATAAACATTAATAAATTCGAACCACATCAAGTTGACATTTTTAGTTTTGCTATACTTCACTGAAATGTATGAGTGCAGAAAATACACACAATATAAAATTAAAGGAGCAAACAGAATGCTTACTTTCTCTAAATGCTTTACAGTAGCCAAGGAATGACAACAAGAAGAACAGGGCACACAGTAGGTCTGCTCTGCCAACAATACCGGCAACCTTAAAAAAAAAAAAAAAAAGGGAAAAAAAATTTCAGATAACCAGTTTTAAGATAAAGCTACACACATATACAGAAAGTGAAATGTATAAAAGAATACCATTGTATCACTTTTTTTTTTTTTAACCTGGTTTACTGGATTAGTGATACCCAGTTTTCTAAGCCGCATCGTAATTTTGATTGGGTTTTGCTTAGTATCAACTAGGTCAATGATTTGGCTTTAATTTATGAAAAACTGCTGTTTTAAGACACAAAGGACCTTACTGAAGAAAATGTAGACTCTGCTCCATTCCATCTGTTTTTTGGATCAGGTTGCCTTTCAGTAGAACTCCTAGCAAACATTCTGAACCCCAACAAAACTGACAGCTCTGCTGGAATGCAAATCAAGACTGTCCACTGTCGGAAAACAAGTCAGCCTTCACACTGCAGTCTGAACACTCAGAATGGACACAGAGCTTCCAACCTGCACAATCAGAAAAAAAATTTCCCCTTCCAGCAGTTTTTTGTAATTGATTGCATTAGAGCTACCTCCAACTGTATCTTGTAACAGAAGCCGTACTAATGAAAAAGAAACCGAGAAGTGCATTCTGGGACCTCTGTACTCCAGATCTGTGTCCACCTATTTAAATCAAGAGCATTCTCAGGGCCACCAATCAGCTTTGATTCAAGCCCTTAAACTGTACTTACAACAACTTGCTGAGACACAGCATGACGCATTCTTGGATCTTCACTCCTCAAACACACAAGTGTCAGGATATACCATGATTTTTTTGTGGAACTCACGACACTGGGGGGGTGGCAGGGCCCTCATGTCGGGACCTCACTAGAACATACACCCAGAGCAAAAATCATGGAAACACTCCTTTGTTTTCAGTCTAGCTTTACTCCCCAGAGTGCTGGGTTTCGTGTTTCCAGGAAAAGATGTACACAGAGGCCTTTGAAGCAGGGCAGAACAGCTACAGGGTTTTTCTTTTTTAATGCACTTTCTGAGGTGATGGTTCAGGGACAAAAGCAGAAACTTTGGTTCTTGTGTAGTACACCAGTTGTCCCATTTTGTGAGCGGAACAGAAAGAGGAAAGTAAAAAGATAAACTGTACCTTCATTTTGTTTACAGGCACCTGCTAACTCTCCCTTAGGAAAAGGGCATTGTTTTGTGTCAGTCTGACACGATGGAACAACTATTTCTAAATAACAACAGAGAAGGAAAGAGAAGCATCGAGGCATGACAGTAGGACTGAATCCACTGAAGAGACTCGCTCCCACTTTACCCTCAGCTTCACTGGAGCACTGTAAAATGAGAAACTGCTGGACTCCTAAATTCAGTTCAGGAAAACTTCTTGATTTATCTGAAGCCACGCACCTATCTTTCCTGCTTCTTTTTCTATCTTATCGAGGAATTACGAGAATTAACTTAATAGCTGTGCAGTGCTTTGAAATGTGAAAATAATGAAGTGTCATTCTGTTTCAGGAGCTGCTCTCAGCTAGTGAGGTAACAGTAAAGGTGAACTGAGACAATTGTGAAAATAAATGCCAACTTGTTACAACAAAGAGATTACGGGGCTAATAACACATATATGGCCTCAGATGACTCCAACAGTACAATGTTATCTCAAATGTAGGATCAGGCCCATAGACTCTGGTAATAAGGTAAAAAAAAAAATCCAGTTAGTTTTAAAATAGTATCAGGTATATTCTTACATCCGTGTTTCATTTAGTATTTCATCACTCAAGTGCTACTATGAATTAACATTTTTTGGAAGAGAGAACTACACCACAAGAGTGTTTACTTGTAGGTAGAAAAAATGATAACGACAGATGTTTTTCTTGCATAGGTACTGAAAGCATTAAACTTTCCAAGATCTGTTTTACATGACAGTTTGTTTTGTGCTGTATATAACAAAATCCAAAGCAGCAACAGAGAGATTCTTCACAATTTTATGTCAAAATATGTCATCTCATTTCAAAACCAGGGTGTCATGATACTTAAAACTCACAGCTTTTAAATAACGAGAAATGCTTTTTGAGGAGATGCTGCCTGACACACACTCACGTTAGAACCATAGCAGTGTCACGACTGCTACAATGCAGCAAGATTTATTATTTACTGTGTAAATGATTAGAGAGGCCTTTGTTCGCTCCTGGATCCTCGAAGCGACATGGTGTGTAACCATGCTACTTTTTTCCTCCTCTTCCAATGCTTGCACAAAGCATACACAAGTATTCAAACCTCGCATGTGCAAGCAGACCGCATCACTTGTGATTTATTTGACATGACCAAGGTCTTACTAACATTTGCCTGCTGATTTAAATATATTTTTTGGAGTCAAATGGAATGAAGAATAAAATTATGCATATTGATAGAGTCAATAGTAAGTCTACTACAAAGTTAAGACTCAAGTGAGATTTCTCTTCACACGTCAGAACATCAAAAGCACTGAAGACCTGTTTTACTTCACTTTGGCATCTAGAACTGGTTTTGAACAACAAATACTAGGGGCCTTTCCGACACTAGGACAATGTGCTCTCCCTAAGAAGCTATTCTGCAGGCAAGCAAACACCAGATAATGATTGGCAGAATGTTTTAGCCGCAGTGTCAAATAAGGTGCCAAATTGCTAATACATAACTTTGCACCATCTCTAGGTTTCCAATACATGCAGGGTCCCCAGTCAGCTGAGAGGCATAGCTTTCCGTAACCTCTTTCCCATCAATCATGTGCAAAGCAAATGAAAATAAGCCAAACCCATGGCATATTGCAAATAAATGAAAAATCAGTGCCATATATATAGAATAAGGTGCACTGAGGATTCAGTGTTCATTACTAGCAGGAAGATCAAAATTAGAACTTTTTCAGTAGCTCAGTCCTTCCAAGCTCTAAAAAAACAGAAAAGATTCCTGCATTGTGATTATTTTATATTTCATTTATTCATTATTACAAGATCAAGCAATCAGGGACCACATCCAGCAAGCCCACCTGCAGAAGGTCATAAGATTTTCTTAGCTTGGAGTGCAAAAGAGTTTTTTTAAGAGAACCACTTCCTATTCACTAGAATTTCCACACAAGGACTTTGATCTTTGATGAGGTATTTTAATTGGTAGCTATGCATATGCCATGTTTCTATTCTGCATCTTTACAGCTTCAACTTCCAGCCACTGTTACGCTTTTGTCTGTACTACTAAAGTGCCCACTACTATCAAACATGTGTTCCCCATGTACATAATTACAGATTCTGATTAAAAAAAAAAATCCTTTAATCTTCTCCTTCATATTAAAAATATACACCCATGGAGTTCAGTCTCTCATGACACGGGACAATTTCCAGTCCTTTAATCATTTTCATGGTTCTTCTGAGCCCTCTCCATTTTTCCCAACGTCCTCCTTGCAGCATGGATTCAAAACTGGATGCAGTATTCTAACACAGTCACACACAGAGTTCACGTAATGTGCCTACTCCAATTTTCTATCTCCTTGCTTTTTTATCAAAGCAAATGGAAATGAAAAGTGGTTATGCATTTGCATTCAGTTTATCTTCCATTCTCCTTTGCTGCTCACAAGCTAATGTTTCTAGTAATGAATTCTTAATCCAGTAATTAGGGAAACTCTGTAGTTTAGGGCTATCCTTCTTTAGTTTTTGTACTTAAATGATTTAATTTATCTTCCTTAATAAGGTCCAGCCCTGTGGAATTACAAGCTTTTGGACATACTAACCATAATATTTGACTGTTCTCATAAGACACATACCAAGAGAAGCGTTAAGAATATAAAAGCAATGTATAGAGAGTAAGGCTATGTCAGAACTAATTAGTCAAGATGGTCAAGAACTTCTAAGACATAAATCATTGGAGCTCATTATTCGGTACTTACACATTCGGTGTGCACTGGATGTGCAGCAAACAGCAAAGCAGCTAGAAGAGATGTCTTTGGAGCCAGGTTTAGCCTTCTTCCTTTATTACTGAATTGCAGTCCACCCAGTAAAATCGAGAACACATCAACCATCAACACTGAGATAGTACAATGCAGTATTATATTGATGACATGGAAACCAGCTGGGTAGAAGCCTCCAGCAAAAAGGTAATTAATTCTATATAGGAACAAAAAAGGTAAGGCTAGGAATTACATCAACAGCTTAAGACATGCAAACAGAACGCCTGAACAACCCCATAAGAAGATCATGTTAGACACACACACACAAAAAGGCTGAAAAATACCAGCAAACCCCAGCACGCATAGTATTACCACTTAGCCACCACAGCAGGCTAGAAACAATGTCTTGATCTGTACTCAAAGGTATTCGTCTGGGATACCATATTCAGCATAATATCTGCCCTCTCCAAAGACATACATTAATGCTATTATGTTAATCATACTTATGGTTACTTAGAACTGGCTTTTGGTCAGCAACATAACTTCAATACTGCAATGCAGGCATGTCCTACAGGTAAACAACCCAGCCTACCGGAGGGATACCCTTGGGTTTAAGAGAAACTATGTCCAAAAACAATCCGATGAAATCATTTTAATTAAAATCCACACAGTGAGGAAAGTAATACGTACTGAGACTATGATTTCCACTGACATTCTAGCTGAAAAACATCCTAGCATTTGCACTGACGATACGGAAACCACCTGTGTAAAATCCAGTATCAATCCAGAAAGTAATTACTTAGCACATCTTAGTAACTAATTTGTGAGACTGGTTAGAGAGGTTTCATGCAAGTATTAGAACCAGAAGGAAGTGTAAGTGAAAATTTAGTCTAAAATCCTATTCAAGATAGGAACTCTGTGGTAAAATGGAGAGGGAGAAGAAAAGGGAGAAACACCTTGCTATTATCTGTATACTTCTATCAGTACGTGACATATAGAGAAACTTAGTTTGGATAGGGGATTTTATATACTTCATTTGGTCAGCCTGTACCTAGCTTAAGTGAAATCTATTAAAAAACCCTAACCTACTATAAATGTGATACACATAAAAGTTGGAGCTTAGGGAAATTAAGAAAAACAATTTCTTACTTGTGAAAATAGCATTTTATGGACCATCTCCACATGTTCATCTACATTTTCAGATATAGTAATGACTGTATCCTAGTTCACTCTTTAAACTAACCAAGATGTTACTAGAGATGGAATATACCACTGAGACCTTGAAAAGAAAGGAAAGCATGTGCTATGTAATGTACTGAAAGCGTTAATAGGTTTAAGACTGACACATTCTATTCAGTTGTGTATTTTCCTTTATGAAAATGTGAAGAAAGCCCAACAGACAGTGAAACCCACAGTGCTAAGTACTTAAAACACTGACACTGCACTCAAGAGTCAAAGTTTTTGCTTGAATATGAGGACTAAGAGTGGGAATACTTCTTCCACCATCACTTAGTCCCTGGCTTAGACCAGACAACTGCAGAACCAGTGTCAGGTCCCCATCCACAACACTGAGTCACATGGGGAAAATAAAGAAGCTTAAGACTGAGTCTGCAAAGATTCTCTGCATTACTGTGGCAAATTTCTACACAGTTTACTGCTTGCTCAAATCTTTGTGCAAAAAACATGAGCTAAGTATCTACAGAAGTAATCCTCAAACCGTTAGTTATCTGAGAAAACCAGCAAGCTATATATACAGGCAGACATCTCTCTCACTAGGATTCTCTGACACAAACACTCACTTGAAGTTAGAATATCAGGGGGGAAGAGATGGGAAGACTATTCAGTGACCTAGCGGCAAAAGGCTGCAGCAGATGGATGCTATTTATAAAAAATCATTTGACAGGTCACGAGGAAAACAGAGAACAGAAACTACAATAGCAGTGTATGTGGCAGCATGGTGAAGTGAAAGGAATGTACACCTCCTAGTTCTTTGATGTTGTGACCTACATACTGAACCATACTGCCCCTAGAACCAAGGTATATAAGAGTATAAGATGGAATCTCTGAAAGGTACACTGAAATACAGAATGTCAAAATAATGTATACTTTGGAAAAGAAACAATCTGAAAATTAAAACTCAATTTGAGGTTAAGGTAGTGAACAGGAAAACTGTATTCAGCAGAGGTACCTTTCAGATACTTTGTCTCTCTCCTTTCCTGTTGCCTCCTCCCAATAATCAGTTGAGCCAATATATGTTAAAAAAATTCAGAGCTTGAGCAAAAAGACAGGTCTTACCTGAAAGTTAGGACAGTTAGTGGTCTATATGACTTATGACTGGTATTGCTGCTGAGTTTGCTACCCCAAAAGTCATGATGCCACAGGTCACCAAGTGGGGTTTCTGCCCTGAGGTCCTGAAAGGAAACATCATAAATTACCAGATTCTTAACATTTCTGTTTTGTTCAGAGCAGCTAACATACAAACAAGTTCTAACTAATACAAGCTCATGCTAACACAGACACAGAAGGTGTTCTGTTGGCCCACTACTGACATTTGACAAGGTATCCAAGTCGGCAACAAAGATCACATCTTGGATGCACGTCATCATAAGGGCCAAGATGCTTGGGCTCTGTAAGTAGGTGTAACCACATGAAACTTAGTAGAGCTACGTGTATTCATATCACTTGATGATCTGGTCAATAGCCGAGATATGAAACACATAAAAAACCCCCTTTATCTTACAGTTTTGTAAAAAGTCTTTAATTTTAGGTCTAGGTTATCTTGTGAAGAAGGTCAACTACACACTGCTACAAATAGCCGTTTTTTTACCAGTGTCAGTAGCACAACTACTAACAAAAGCATGAAAGCAAGCAGACTAAAGATAGAAAACAACAACTAGCTCTTTTTGAAGCCTTACTTTGCACAGGGCACTACTCAAATAGCTTTTTTAAAAAAAAAAAAAAATTAATACATGAAATCAAGTATCAATATCTCTATATACTGCTCTAGAAGACTGATAGTGGAAGACAGAAAAGTAATGAATTATTTTAATTTGGGGTGGAGTAGGAGACTATTAAAAAAAACACTGCAAAGTCTACGCTTACCTTTTATCTTAAAGACAAGCTGATAATGGAAAAAATCCAAATAACCTAGACTACTGAATGAAAAACATACACTTCGGAGAGGAAAAAATAAGGACCTTGGTAACACCTGCCTCAGTGTTCTGCAAGGACAAGCTAGGAAGCTCAAACTAATACATTCATCTTCTATTTGAGCCTCTTCTCCTGATTCCCTGAGGCAATTAAATACCAATTTATGCTATAGAAAATGTGCAGGTTCAATACATTTAAGACAGAACCTAAGAACAAAATTGTACTAGTGAATGAACAGCTTTCGTACGAGTGCTGGTACTATACCTGCAATCAACCACAAGTTACTCTACCCCTACCTTCTCCCTTGAAATTGTTCAAGAGACCAACAAACCAAAGCAGATTAGTAAGCCAATACAAACATAAGTAAGCAGACAAACCGGGTTGCTAAACCCATGAAAGGTCTTACAAAGCCAGGTGTCCCATGTCTTATTCCTCCTACATCTTCATCTACTTACAAGCTTCTCACATCACAATACCCTTGGTTCACTAACTCCAGTTCCTCTCAAATGGTGCTACCATCTCACTTGCTTCTATACTACCTTGAGTACCTCCTGTGGTCTCCAGCACCTTCCATCCCATCCTTAGCTAGCATTTCTGGTCTGCCAAGGCAAGAGAGAACACACGCCACTGCTAGTCCCAAGGTACAGCCAAATGTCTGGGCCATGCTCACCGGCTGCTGCTAAACTGAACTTAAAATAACTCAATTTTTCTTGCTTCTCTCTTCACACATTCTACTTTTCATCCATCCAAAAATAAAAAAAATATCCAGGAAGAGATTTATTTTTATCACTTGACCATATTTGGCCAGTATTAGACAACCACTCAAAAAAAAAATTAGAACAAGGAAGTAGGCTAAAAATCCCAGCACACTGTCAAATGAAGTGAAGAATTCTCTAATAGTTTACTAATCTACAGGAAGAAAACAAAGCAGGTAGCACTGTAGTCTTGGAAAAGTCCTGTACTGCAGCTGTGAATTAAGGCATTCTCAGGAAGAAATCTTAAGAAACCAAGACTCACAGGGGATCATATTTGGGCTTAAGAATTAGGAAGGTGCAAAATTTCTTCACTTTCTCACAGATGTTTCTACTACCATGCAAGAGCTACAAATTTCTTTCTCCTTCCAGCACTGCAATTTTGGCCTTGGGCACCTAAATTCCTGTTCCATTCCTCCCTGGTATGCACAAGCCCTAAGGGTCTTAATCTGACTCTCAGAGCAGAATTGCACTCAACCAGCAGCCCACTAAATCAATCAACACACCCTGCTTTCCCAGGGGCAAGCTGGGACTGGGTTGTACACCAGCATCTGCTGAAGTCTCTATGCTCTGCAGGAGACAGTGTTAGTGGGCGTTGTGGCACTCAGATGGTTTTTGCAACCAACAGCACTGCCCCTTAAGTACATATGCCAAAGAAAGGGACTGTGAAAGAGAGACTTTTATTCTAATATTAAAATTTTAAAAGTATGTCTTCTATGACACAGATGGTCTTCAATAACTTGAGATGGGAAATGTATTTCAGATGTGCAAGGCTAGATTTCCCCTTTCATCAAAATCAGTCTTCTTTTGTACTCCATAGGAAGAACGCAGGAAAAGCTGAATACATGGAATTACTTAGTGATTAGATTATACTTCCATATGACCTAAAAATCTTCAGTCATGTATCTTGCCCTTGTATCCCAGTTCTGTGAGAAAAAGTTTCTTACATTAATTTTCCCCTCTCAGTGAACTTACCCTAAACCAGGAATGGTTAGCTCTAAGAGACACAGCTGTTTAAAAGTTACATATGATTTTCTCTTTAAGAACTGCAAGCAGATATCAAAGAATCTCTAAATATTTGATTAGCAGCAGCTTACAGACAGCAGAGTTCAATACTTGAAGAAAGGTCAGTTTTTCTATATAAAGGCTTACGGAAATGACACATTGTGTCTGAAGCTCCTCCTAATTCAACTGTTCCGTCTTGCCAAGCTAGTAAATAAACAAAGATTAAAGTTACTGTTGTATATCAGTCAAAATGCTGCTTAAAATGACAAGAAAGCATCTGGAAAACAGCCTTGAGCCCCAACAAAATCTAATACCAGAATGTTCCACAATACAGCAAGCATGGGGTCAATTAACACTGTATCTTTTGCTAAAAGAAAATCCTGAAAGATTGGTGTGGTGGTGGGAACTAGTAGCTTAACAAAAAGGTCACTGTGTGGTACCCAAGAAAATACTGGTATAGTAATGCTCAGTAAATCTACAAAATTACTTCACCTGCTGTCTCTCCTATTGAATGGGTATAAAATATGCTATACTTTGTTTAATAAACTGTGCCTTTGCTAGAAACTCTCTCTTCCCATTAAAATGGTAAACTCATCGTCTCTGCATTTTTCTTGTGGATTTTGTATTACCATATTCCATTTTTTTATTCATATGACCCCTGTGTTAAAATGATATCGTCACAAAAATCTCATTTGATTTCTAGGGAATAATACACGATTTTGATGTGAAAAACAGAATAAGCCTCACAGTTTTTCAAACCTACAGACTAGGTATGAAGTAATCTATGTAAGCATTGGTTGAATTTCTCAGCATTGCCAACAGCTATAATCCTGGTGCAGGCTGCTGTGTTGCACAGATAAATTGAAACACTTCAAAAGTGAAGACCACAAGAAATGGAGAAAGATTACAAGTGTGGAAATTGCGCATGAACAAAACAACCTGCCTTGTTTCAACATCAGTCTTCTGTTCATTCTTTCAGGAAATTGAAATATTATAACTGTGCCCCAAATAAAACTTTGCAGAATGAAACATTGCCAAGAGCTGTGTAATTTAAAATATAATGCTTCTGAAAAAAAAAAAAAAAATTGCTGTAGTTTTTAATTTGTCTATAGTATTCTCTTAGAAGTGTTGAAATTTATTTCTGATTTGGCAGATGTATTTTCCCCCCATACATCTATAACTCAAGGTATGATGACTTACATAAGCATAATACAAATTTGTCTAAGGAAACAGTAATTCTGCGGGATTCTAAAAGGCACATTGCGGTAAGCTGCCTCTAAATCTCATGCAAGGCCAAAAAAAAAGTGAACTGTGTTCTTCTAGCAGTTTGAGTCTCCCGATTATCCTCCCTGTAACCCCATGGCTTCAGGAAAACAGAACCAACAGATGAGGGTGGCTCTTTTTACCCTGTGCTTCTCTTTCCAAGCATTTAACAAGTACCTTTCAGAACAGCTTAAGAGCTGTCACACCAGGACTCACCTATGAGCACAGGCTCACTAACTCACTCACTCACTGCCACACGTGATTCTATGCAGTGTCTCAGCAACTGAAGACACTCAACTCAAAATCAAAAGAATCTTAGCTAGAGGTTTGAGTCACATGTTAATTTCCAAGCATTTCAAGGACTGTTCATTGCACGTATGATCATTTTAAAACAGAGCACAAGAACACTCTGCCTCTATTTAAAAAAATATACTGTTATCACAGGAACTTTAGCTGGGGAAGGCGCATAGGAAAAGGAAGCTTTCCTTGCTCCTGTAACATTTTTATGGTATAAACCACAGCTGGAGAACGCCTGCACCCTCACTTAGTGATGCATCGTGTATCCTGCAAACAGAGTAAGTTTATTCATTGGGCTTATTCATCTGTCACCCTGAGAAGATAATGAAAAAAAATATCCTGTTAACATCAGCAGGTATTAGAAAAGTCTACTGCATACTCTCACTGACTGGGAAACAAAGCATAAAATTAGATCTATATGCAGTCTTGATGTACAGGTACCCTGTGAATAAGTGTTACTAAACATCACATCCAAATTTGCTGCAACCCTAGTTAATGCTTTCTTACATGGCAAGCAGACAAAGCCCATTTGGTATGGCAAAAAGAGATCCCTTCCCCTTGACCAGATATCAACACTTGTAAGCAGAGCATCTTGCTTGCAAAAGAATCAGAGGGGACACATTCTGATGGAAAAAAAAAAAAAAGCTGTTTAATTTGTTCACTCTTTTATTTATGCATTAGAACCCAAGTCATGTTCTTCAAATAGCTTTAGGAATAAGATTTTGTTAAGCACACATGCTTCTAGCTTTTCAGTAGAGCACTGCTGTACAGCTTGTTTGTCAACCTTCAATAAGGCTCACTTAAAAAAAAAACCCCAATAAAACAAAACTGAAAAATGAAGTTCAAAGAAAGAGTACCAGAAGGAAGCTCTTGCTATGATGAATATTTTGGGCCTACTGAGATCAATTGTTGTCACTATTTCTTCTATTACCATTCATGTCAAAGAGCGCGGGGGGGGGCAAAGAAGAGAGACAAACCTTATTATTGATGATGGCTTCAGAATCATCAAAGACAAAATCTCCATCATAGCTGTTAGCAAAACAGAGGAAGGAAATTAATGCCACAATCGCTTTTGCCCAGTATGGCGGAAGGAGGAACCATGATACATCATGGTCCAGATTAGGTTCCGTTTGTGCCATTCTGTGAAATGTTTGTTCCAAGTTGGGAGCTTCAGCATTATGTTGGTTGCAAATCTGAAAGAAATAGATACAAATGCACAATTATAGTTGCATTTCACTAAAAAAGAATTCAAAAATGGAGAGCTGGGTTGAGAGAGGAGAAGGAAGTTTCGTACAACCTAACATTTTTCTCTTGATGCCTTGCATAATTACTGGAACATACCTAAACACAATTTTGTACTTCAAATTTGGAAGGAAGGCACAATTTCTCATGGCTGGAGCACAGAGATAAAGCCAAGAAAATCTTAGATTCTAAGTTAAGGCTTTGGCACGGGTAAATTCTAAAACCTTAAGCAAATCACTGTTTTTCTGTTCCTTGCTATTCTTTTCAAGTACAACAAAAAGGGGGCATCACAGGGACTGTAGAACATTTATAAAGTTCCTAAGAGAACGATAAGCACTATAATTTCCTTCTGAGTGTGAAAAACAAACATCATCAACTGCAAAAAGAGGTCTCTTCCGTTAGTTGATTTAAAGGATCTAGTCTTACATATAGCCCATAAAGGGAACTCACACCAACATCACAAGTAGACATATACAGATAGCAGTTAATGGACTGGGCCCTAAATCTCAACAATGCAAACAAGGCGACAACAAGACGCATGCACTTAAGACCGAAGCAGTGCTCACTAGATCACTCTGCACGCTGCAAGTACAGTGTAGGCTAAGTTCCACTGCTGTATTCACAGGCTTATCAGGCTGCTGAGGCAGATGAAAAAGACCACGCAACCCCACAGCACTGAGTGATACATCAGCGTGGAGGTACTGAGGCTGGAGGTTTACCCACGAGCCCCCTTTACTTGGAAGGCTCTCTTCTGATGCTCCAAAGCCAGCCCTCTGCCTGGATGGCTGCTCTGCCTCTGCTTCTCTGGTGCTCTGACAGCACTGGGAGTGGTCTTATCACCGAGTGCTGCTGCTGTAAATGGCAGGGGGAGGAGGTTATGAATCAAAAACGACAGTAAAAGCAGGGCACAATACAAAGTCTTTATTTGTAAGCCCCAAGAATGACAGGGACACAACAGCAGCCCAGCTTCACAATTTCTTCTTATTTACTGGCTTTGTTAAATCAACTGCTACACCCCTGAAAACCCCGCATTTAACTTCTTCATACAATCTAGCAAAAAGCTCCAGCCGTTTGGCTCCTCGAACAGACTCGACCATCAGAGCTGCTAAGGCAATGGCTTTGTAAGTGCCCTGTCTGCAGCGTTAAGTCCCGGTCTCCGCACATTCCCAATCTCCGTACCCACGGTCAGCCGGTGGCCCCTGTCACGCCAGTGCCCCTTCTCGCGTTGGGGACTGTACAGCGGTGTCCCTCCATTGATTCAGGCAAAGTCCGGCAGCAGGAGCTGTGCAACCCGAGATGGGGTGATGCTCCTCAGCAGAGCAACGCAGATCAGCCACTTTCAGAGCAAATCCTTTTTTTCCGAGAAATTCACTTCTGTGCTGTTAGTTTAGGTTTTGTTTCCGTCCAAAGCAAGGCTGTTAATCCGAGGGAAGCGTATCGCACTGCTCGCAGCGGCTCAGACACAGCACCGACGCCCGCCACCCAGCTACAACACCCAACCTACTCAAAATCCCTTTTGCCCAGAAAGTTTCTCCCATCACCCTTGC